GAGATGTGTACACAGCGCATGTGTTCAATCACAGTAGCATTTAGTATAGTGCGATAAAAACAAAAAAAAAAACAATGGTTGCCTGTAAAGTCGGTTTTACGGGCGAAGATTTTACATGACAACGGTAGAATATTTATTGATATGAATATAATTAAATTGCACAATAGGAACAAGGAATTGAATGAAAATAAGAATTGCACAAATTTTAACTATAGAAATATATTTTGTTTACTAAAACATTGTACATGTAAACTTAAACTTAACTAATTCCTATTTGAGTGATTTTGTTGAGGATAGGACGATGATAGGACTTGCATAAATGGAAGGCGCGGTGAGACCAAACGTTCACTGATAGGATCCAGAGGCGGTAGACCTGGAGGTATGTCAGGATATGAGAAGCCGTTGACCTTTGCGAGAGTAGGAAGCTTACGCTTATTCAGTGATTGTCTACAGGTGTTGCTAGACTTTGTATAATCCTCCTTGCGTAGCTGCCGATTTTCCTTAACGTACCAATCCGAGATTACCTTCAGTTGTAGTGCAGTGATGGTTTTAAGGTCATTCTTGAACCACAATCTGTCACAAACCGAGCAAGCATGGCCAAAATCGTTGTCCAGGAAAGTAGATTGAAATCTCCGTATTGACGATGACCATTTGGTATACCAGGTGGATTGTTCCAGTTGTATTGCTGTTTGGCTTGAAGAAGTAGTCGGTTGTACATCAGTCCGAGAAGATGCTGCTCTACGTTGTCGGAATGCACGTTGCCGTTGAGCGTTAGTTAGGGGAACGCTCGTTCTCTCCGCCACGACAGGAACGCTTGTTCTCTCCACCACAGAACAAGACGTTGAAGCAGGTGACTCTGACGTACCGCTGGTGAGGGCTATGTTAGCAGATTTACGTAGCTTGAACCTGCGTTGCCTCTCCGCAGCCGCTTTTGCAAAGGCTCTTACTTGTTCAGGAGTTCTGGTCAATGCTTTTCGTAGTCTGTACTCACGTTGTCGCTGAGCATTCGTTCTGGCGGTAGAGGTGGTGTGTGGAACAACGAAAGGTACTGCAGACGTTGACGGCACGATATCCTCCGTCTCCATTGAAGTACTGGAAGTTGAAGGCACCGTTTCCATTGTTTTGAGAGTGGTGATTCCTGTTGAACATTTGAAATTGAATGGATGAATTTTTAATTTTAAAGAATCAATTTGAAAATCAAAACACTTATTCAGATCGAAGGTTCAAATTTTTGCTAAATAAATTTGAAACTATTTAAAATTTGTAAAATAATAATTAATTAATTAATTAATTTTAAACTAATAATTTACTTAACACTATCAACATTTATCAATAGTATGACATAACCTATAAACTCAGTTTCTCAACTTTTGTGTCAATCTAACAATTAATCAATCAATCATAGTTTACGATAATGAAATATCAGTGTACAATTATTTACCTTTATTGTTGTAGTTGTTTTAAATGACGAATCTAAGCACTCCACATTTTCACTACAGACACAGCTGACGATACTTTAACCACACGTGTGAACTTGTATTATGACGCTTTCTTGTTTTTCCAACGCCAAGAACGTTCGAGAAAGACAAAGACAGAGACAAGCATGCGCCGATTCAATGCGCCTAATTCTCTAGCGCTGCGCGCGCAGCTGCGCGCGCAGCACTCTCGTTCGGTGACTCATCGTAACGTTACCGGGCGTTACACTTTTTCATAAGTGACTCCCAGCCGCAACCTAATTTAAGACGTTGTCACGTCAAAAAACTTATTTGGAAAACCGTGTAAAAGCGAAAACGTGTAAAACAAGTACCGTGTAAATCGGGAGATAGGTGTTTTGTGAAAATACATTTTTTTAATTAATAATAAAACTAATTTTTCTTTATAATAAACGATTTCCCCCAGGCATCAAATATTCACACAAATAATAAATATTATTTTGTACCCGTTAAAGGACGTGTTGTCCGAAAGCTATATGATTGTCCTTTTACAAGATTGGGTCAATAAGTAATGTACAATCACCCCTAGCAAAATATATAACTAATTTATTATCATAAAATATATATTTTTTTCTTGTAATTAAAACACTCTGCTTTTTATATCTGTAATCAGAATTGATTTATTGATAAGGCACAATTTGGATTATAGATTATAAACACAAGGTAATAAGACCAAATCCAAATAAATAAATAGTGTGTGACGTTTCGGTAACAGCGTTGTTACCATCTTCAGACAAAAGTACTGAATGACAACGCTGTTACCGAAACGTCACACACTATTTATTTATTTGGATTTGGTCTTATTAACTTGTGTTTAGAATTGATTTATCTTTTGTATTTTTTCAGATATGGAGCATAATGTGAACACAAGAATCCGACAACGGTCGGTGACCGAGTTCCTCTTTAAGTCCAGTGACATTTCAGCCACAACAATTCACTCAAAACTTCAGCCATTATATGAAAACATTGAATAGAAGCATTATACAGAGATGGGTTCAGCTTGTATATAAAAAAAGCGTTTCTCCACAACTTGTGTTTCTTCTTCTTTCAATAGTTAGTCAACTAGAAATCTGGCGTCATGGATAAAAAGATAAAAAGGTAAAAAAAAAAAAAAAACAATCAGCGGGGGAGCAGAGCGGATTATGAAGAGTAGCTGACCTAGAGGATATGGTCTGGTAGGGCTGGGTGTTCCAATTATAGGGTGAGGTAGGTGGCAGTGATGAGCCAGGCCCATAGCAAGTGACCCTGACCAAGATGGCCGAGGAGATATCCCATCGTTGGCCATCCAACAATGGAACCTCCCATTCTACTCTCCCAATTATCTCGGATTAATTGGAATGCACTTACAGTACTGTTCATCTCCTTCTTTTCTTTGTGGGTCCCCAGCTTATCGCGTGGTGCATTCTACTGATGTCTTTCCTGCTCTGATCTATGTGGATACTTTACTCAACTTTTACATCCCATTTCTTTCTATGTTTTAAAGATATTGAAAGAAAAAACACATACAAAAAAATGTTTACACTGATAGAAAAAAAAATTAAGGAAGTGGAAAATCTTTGATGTCGCCGGTCGTCTTTTTTTTTTTTTTTTAAATAACATTTCATGTTAAAGTAAATGACTGAAGTTTAAACTGGGAAGTGGCTAGAAGAGTTCATATGGGAATGGAATTACAAGAATACAACTGCAATTAAGGCGGCCATGCTTATTGTTATGATCTATGCGAGTTACACTCATGGACAAGACATAAGGAAATGGAAAGTCTTTGATGTCGCCGGCCGTCTATTTTTTTTAAGGAGACAGCGACAATTTTGTTCACACTTCGTTATCTCGTGTGTCTTCAATAAAGGTCACTGTAATATCTTTCAGAGTTATTGTCTGAATTCCGATATACATGCTAAAAGATACAACTTCCTTAAGTTTTGTCCATGAGTGTATATACATACAGTAAATATATATTGATGGGAGTTTAAATATATTAAAACCAAAACATATAGCGGCCATACTAAATATAGGCAATTACTCATCAACAGTCCGGCCGCCAAGATTGTATGCAAATACGGAGACATATTTGCATAATGGAGCCACGGCTGGCTCTCACGCCTTTCCCATTCAACTTAAAGAAGATCTCGCACGATGTATCGAAAGCTTCCGCAATATGTTGAAGGATGGTCAACAACTGTACAGTTTTCCTGTGGTTTGGATGTGTTCGATTTAGTTTATTTTCGAGCGTTCCTATGATATTTCATTCGAAGGTTTAGAAAGGTAACAGACGCGAAAGTTCAAATCGTACTGATTCAATTAGAAACAGGATGTGTTGTGATTTTGCTGGAAGATGGTTCTCACACGGAAGAACCATTTCTTTTTTTTTTTTTATAAATAAGAAAAAAATAATTCATTTTTTGACCATCTCTAACAACATTGTGTAGATTACTATGAGTGGGTATGTTCCACAATATCACAGTTTCGGCAAATTTGGATTTTCCAACTTATATACCAAGGTTCGGGCTAGAGCCCTCATCAGTACAGTTGCTATGGTTTAGTGGTATTCTGGGTGAGCGGATGTCACAAAATGGTAGAGCCGATTTTTAGCAAAACTTCTCACTTTTTTCACTAATACCTATGGTATATATGTAACCTTTACATAAATACGTTGTTGTACCTTGAAAAAGGTTGATATTCAGCTAACTGAAATATTGTATTTACCAATATGTAAAGGTTTTATGGTTTTATATTAATATGTTGCTGTACTTATATGCTGTATAAATGTCAATATGTGTTGTATTTATGTAAATATGTGTTATATATATGCAAATATGTCGTATAAATGTAAATATTATACCAATATGTAAATATGTGTTATATATATATATATATGCAAATATGTATTATATAAGTATAAATATTCTACCAATATGTAAATATGTGTTACCTATATATGCAAATATGTGTTATATATGTAAATATTCTACCAATATGTAAATATGTGTTATATATGTAAAAATGGCAGTGAAGTTACATCACAAACTGCCACAACCGTAATAGTTGTTCTGACCTTTACAAATGGACATTGCTTTACTTTCTCCTTGCCAAACATTTTGGTATTTACCCTGATTTAAGTTCTTTTTTGTAGGTTAATGTGTTTGGAAGGTTACGTTTTAGGGAGCTTTTGTTGTTGCTTGAATAAAACACACTGGGCAATCATTAGTATAGAGTAGGATGAATAAAGAACTTCATTTATTTCCCCCGCGTGCACCATTCGTTTTATAAGAACTCTTTAAACTAAATCATAAAAAATAAAAAAGGGAATAACCTACTGCACCGGTGTTCCAAAGTGGTCACCCTCCCAAGTACTGACCGGGCCTCTGACATTGCTTAACTTCGGTGATCGGACGAGAAACGGTGTTTTCAATGTGGTAAGGCCATAGACAAAAAAAAGTCGCGCGTTCCAGGATTCGAATTTGGAATCTTCTGATCCGTAGTTAGACGCGTTATTCTTTGTACAAAAAGTTCCCACGACAAGAACCAAACTTGGACCTCTTGACTGAGAATGAAGTATCCTAACCACTAGACCACATTGGAAAAAAAAAATTGCCGAAACCCGGAATCGAACCAGGGACCTTTAGAGTTTCAGTTGAACATTCTCCCAACGGAGCTCAATTTCGGATTTAAAAAAAGAAAGAACTTTAAATACCCGAGTTGTACTTTAAATAGTGAAAAAAGTTTTGCATTCCACGTCTATTGAAGACAAAATATTCAAATCAAAATTTTATGGTTAAAATATCAGGCTGCCAGAAGGAGAAGTTTATTTTCAAAATCTCTAATCTTTCGCGGGCACGAACAATCTTCTACAGGAGATAAACACGATTTATTTATTTATTGTATCATCACTAAGGAATGAGTTCCCAGGAATATTAAGAACGGCGATAGAGCAAACAATACAAAATGACTTAACAAGAATAACCCAATCAAAGTTATATTCCCACTATAGAGACATATATACAACGTTTACCACCGAAGAATATTTCTTAAGTGAACTCCCTTTTCCTGTCATCAGATAAATCGCGCAATTTAGAACCCTTTCAATTTTTTCAGAGAACACCATCTGATTTTAATGAGGGGTGAAGACATGAAATGCATTTTCTGTGGATCAGGAATAACAATGTAGATGTTGCACTACTTATTTGATTGTGCTGCTCTGTCTGAGGAAAGACGAAAACTAAATGATAAAACGGGGCAACTTTGTCCTTCATTTCCGGCACTAATTAAACAAAGAATAGGTATATAGCGGTGGCGATATTCCACAGGATTATATCCCGGCCACACAGTGTTCTCCCCATCCCTTGTGAACTGGTGAATCCTGTATAGGGCGAGAGGCCCTAAATAAAGGCTTTGTTTGTTGTTATTGTTGTTTATTTATTGTATCGTGTTTTGTAGAAGAGTTTTCATGTCCGAAAGCTAAATATTTGTGAATTAAAGATTCTGAAATTAAAATGTTCCCTGAAAGATTGATATTTTAACTTCAATATTGATACAAAGGATTACTTTATTGATATGTAAATAAAAAGTTGATAAAGATTTATTAACGCTGTGAAAGAGTATTTTGTATGAAAGCTTAGAACCTAGGAGAATACTATGTCATATATACTACATACAATATATATGTTATATTAAAGTATTATTTTATTTTAAAATTATATTTCATAGATAAAATACTCTGTTTAAATCGACCGCCAGAGGTCACGCTTTCTCTATAAATATTCATTGTTGTTGTTTCCCGTTGGCCAGCTAAAAACTTTGTAATTATGTAAATAATATTTTGTTTTATTTATCCTTACGCCTCAAGACAGGCATTACTTTAATCAAATTATTTTTGATTCAAGAATAATTATTTACATAATGTACAAATGTTTTGGGTCGGCCATATATATTTTGCCAATTATTTTATATAAATATGTAAATAGTGATATAGAATTAAATGTTAAAATTCTATATTTACTTAAAATTAATATAATCATTATTTACATAATGTACAAATGTTTTGGGTCGGCCATATATATTTTGCCAATTATTTTTTATATTGTTTTCACATTTGCTTTTTGTACATAAACTTTGTGCCAACTTCTTGCTTTTCACAAATGTCCTTCTTATAATCATCAAATGTTTCCACCTATCTTTTACAAATGCAATTATTTTTCATATTGTTTTTTTTTTTCTATGTTCTTCATCATTTTTCATTTATATACTTTTGTAAATATCATGCATTTTTCTTATTTTTAATGTCATTTTCTCATGTTTTTTCCAATCTATTGGTTCACAACAAGCCAATACGATTATGGAAAACCACCTTCTAATTTCACTTTTGTATTTTCATTCATTTTATTTTTCTTCCTCATTTTAAATAATATTTGTGTATTTTTTTTTGTCCAATCTATTGGTTCACAATAAGCCAATACGATTATGGAACACTTTCTTCACTCTTTACCACAATTTTCACTCTTTACCACAATTTTCAATCAACCACATTTTCACTCTTCACCACATTTTTGTTATAATTATTCACATTATCATTATTGTACTTTCCTGTCTATTGGTTACCATTCCAAAACCAATATGATTATTGAGTATCACATTTTAATCATTTTATTTTTTTTAACAATATTTTTTTATCACTTTACTCTTAATTAACCTATATTATTCTCTTCACAGGGGGGAAATGTTGTATTGAAATATTTTATTTTAAAATGTTATGTATTAAAATGTTATTTTGTTTAAAATTATAATTTCATAGATATAAATACTCTGTTTAAATCGACCGCCAGAGGTCACGCTTACCATATAAAATCCATATATTCCATATATGAACATGTAAAGAAAAATTAATGGTAAGAATAAAAATGAAAATATTATTTACATAATGTACAAATGTTTTGGGTCGGCCATATATATTTTGCCAATTATTTTTTATATTGTTTTCACATTTGCTTTTTGTACATAAACTTTGTGCCAACTTCTTGCTTTTCACAAATGTCCTTCTTATAATCATCAAATGTTTCCACCTATCTTTTACAAATGCAATTATTTTTCATATTGTTTTTTTTTCTATGTTCTTCATCATTTTTCATTTATATACTTTTGTAAATATCATGCATTTTTCTTATTTTTAATGTCATTTTCTCATGTTTTTTCCAATCTATTGGTTCACAACAAGCCAATACGATTATGGAAAACCACCTTCTAATTTCACTTTTGTATTTTCATTCATTTTATTTTTCTTCCTCATTTTAAATAATATTTGTGTATTTTTTTTTTGTCCAATCTATTGGTTCACAATAAGCCAATACGATTATGGAACACTTTCTTCACTCTTTACCACAATTTTCACTCTTTACCACAATTTTCAATCAACCACATTTTCACTCTTCACCACATTTTTGTTATAATTATTCACATTATCATTATTGTACTTTCCTGTCTATTGGTTACCATTCCAAAACCAATATGATTATTGAGTATCACATTTTAATCATTTTATTTTTTTTAACAATATTTTTTTATCACTTTACTCTTAATTAACCTATATTATTCTCTTCACAGGGGGGAAATGTTGTATTGAAATATTTTATTTTAAAATGTTATGTATTAAAATGTTATTTTGTTTAAAATTATAATTTCATAGATATAAATACTCTGTTTAAATCGACCGCCAGAGGTCACGCTTACCATATAAAATCTCACCCTATTTTAACTTGTAATTCTCACCCATGCTTCTCAATAGTTTTCATTCGCATATTTAGAGATATATTCCTTTTGTCAAATCATTTTTAGATATCAATTTTTCCATAGCTCTTTTTGCCATTTAATACCACACACCCTTTAATCCTTAGTTTTCCTTTGTATGGTGAGCTCCTAAATGCCATAATATACCTCATGCCATTTTTTATCTTCAAATTTAAACTTGTGCAAATAATTTAGCCCATTTTTACTAAAAATTTACTTTTATATCATGTCATAATTTTACATTGTAAACCTAAATATATGTAAATTGGCTAATATATCTCCCATTACATATTTAACTTTTAAAACATTTTCAAATAATTTAAACAATTTACACCAATTTTTTAACACAACACCATATGCGGGGCAGTCGGCCAGGAGAACAACAACAAAATAACATTACCTATTTCCCACATCTTCAATATTTTAATAAGCTATCTTTAACATTTTTAAAATCATATTGCCACTAAAAAGAACCAACAAATAACTCCATAGCATAATCATCAAGATAATCTAATTTGATTAAAGTAATGCCTGTCTTGAGGCGTAAGGATAAATAAAACAAAATATTATTTACATAATTCCAATGTTTTTTTTCAATGCTATCATATTCAAGGGGAACAACAACAATGAGATTTTATATGGTAAGCGTGACCTCTGGCGGTCGATTTAAACAGAGTATTTATATCTATGAAATTATAATTTTAAACAAAATAACATTTTAATACATAACATTTTAAAATAAAATATTTCAATACAACATATATATACTACATATATAAATATATATAAAATGAAAGGATTTAAAAGCACAAATGTTTCTTTTATACATAATACAAATTTCTACTGTCCCTACTGCGATGAAAAAATATATTGGGAGGGCTTGGCTTAAATCCTTTCATTTTATATGTATAGATGGCGCGTTATTGCTTTGTGTTAATATAAATATATATTAAAAAATGATAGAAAAAAAAATAAAAAGCCAGGTGTTGATATTAAATATATATAAAAAAGGCATATCCTGACCAGAAGCACATGTGCTTTTTTTAGATGGCAGAGCGTCATCTAGTGGAACAGAATTCAACTAAACATTGATTTAACCTGTTCCCTGATATTTGGCCAACCAAATTTCTTGATAAATCAAGAAATACCATCCACGAACGCGTTTCGCGTTGATGACGCTCGTCAGCGTGGAGTAGGCTGTACCACTGCGACCAAAAATAATTTTGGTCCAAGAGGCTTCTTGAAAAACCAAGAAATGATTATATAAGGCCAAACTTGCGTAAATACGCTTAACATGTGAAAAAATGATAATAGAAAAAATGTAAAATAAAAATGTCAGGTGTTGATATTAAAAATATAAATAAAATTGGCCAAATATCAGGGAACAGGCTAAATCAATGTTTAATTGATTTCTGTTCCACCAGATGGCGGTCTGCCATCTAAAAAGCACATGTGCTCCTGGTCAGGATATTCCTTTTTTATTTTTAGTATATATATAAATACTACATATACATACTACCGCCACGATTGAACTCATGAAGGTATCATGGTTTAGAAATATCCTTCTTTAACGAATAGATTGACAAAATCTCTAAACCAAATGTATGGAGCATAAAAGCATCATTTTCCCAAACAAATATGTCATATTTACTTTCCCCCATTTTGCATATCTACTGATCTTTTTAAATAAAGATGTAAACAACACTTTATTATAGATCTCTAAACTTTTAAAAGATTGCTAACGCCATCTATCGGAATAAATATAAACTAAACGTTGATTTTCTTCATTTACGAGAAGTAAAAAGATTTTCCGATTCAATCAACAGCTAACTACAAACGTGTTTTCGAGCTGTTGGCCATTATCAGCGTAGTGAAAGCTCAACCAAC